TTCAATGTATAAAATAGGCAACTTTGACAATATATCTGTTTACATTCTTGATACAACTACGACTTCTATTCGCAGCAAGCTAAATTCAAATCTGTTGACTTTGTTTGTCATAGAAGTAATCTAACTCAATATGAAAGTAGATCCTTCTCAGTAAGAGGTGGCGCTGGGTGTACGAAAAAATAATTAAACCTAATAATAATAAACATATACAGGGTATTCTGGTTTAATTTGAATACTTTTAATTCTTCAAATTGTGTTCAGTTAATTATTTTTAAATAATGTGAGTATCTCTATATATTATTAAGTTAAAAATCAAAAAGAAGTAATATTAGTTGTGCGGATGATCCCATTTTTGTAAAACATTATTAAATAATATAAAAATATAAACTTTTGAATGTTTCAAATTCGGAATTTAGTTATTATTATACTCTACAATTGATTCGGCAGTAAAAGTAACTTTCTTGAAAGAATGGATTAAATTTGAGATTCTCGCTTTATTAAATACCAAAATCTCTTTTAACAAATCCGTTTTTATATTCAGTCGGAGAGCCATTAAATACTTACTCAGAAATTTTTCCTATTCATTAAATTAGCGTACCATGAAATCAGTAAATTAAAATATTACTTTTAAATTCATAAACATATAATTTAATTAAAATCTTCAATATTTCCTAAACCAACTAAACAACGTATACGTATACGTAACAATAATATTCGGCTTGTTGAAATCTGGCAAGGGCAGTGAAAGGTGAACGGGTTTTTTATCTTAGGACAGCACATGCGTCCTAATAATAAAAGGATAAAAAGTTCAAAAGAACGTAAACAAGACTATTAAATTAGAAAAATGCATTTGCAGTATACAGTTAGTTAACGTTTGACGATCGAAATGAATTTAACTATCGGTAATATAACTTTAGGTTATAATAGTAAAATTAGTGAAATTAAATTTTTTACAGTGTGACAATTGACAACACCTTCATAGATAAAGGCAGTGGAAATGTAAGTACCCATGCTTTATGACTAAATTTTGAGTTCGCGAACGTATTCGAAGTTTCTTGTATGTCGAAAATGTATTTTGAATCTACCTTTAGTTCTAATTTTCGAAGTTAAGCTATTTTTATGGTAAAACTCCTTGTACAGCCATTTAAAATTGATTATTCTTCTAATCATAAAATGAACAAGCTTTGAGAAGTGATAATAAGGTAAAAAATATATATAATAATTTACACTTAAAAACATAAAAAGCACTCGTGATATTACTGTAAGATGAAAGAAGTAAAAATATAAAAGTACGTAGAATCTCATGGTGCCAACTGTTTTTGAGTGCGGTGTCAAATATGTACTTTCCGGCATTATTTTTGGTAAAATATAACAAAAGGACATTCAGTATTAGAATTAGAAAACAAAACAAAAAACGTGTCTTCCTAAATTCTCTTACTGATTATGAGATTATAAGGCTGCTACGGATTTTGCAGTTTTTTATTTTTCGTTTTCTTTTAATTGCTTTTTTAATTATGTAAGTGAAGTGGAATTAATTTTCATCAAAAATCCGGATCCGATCGCAGGGAAGTTTGAAGCTCAGGTCGAAATAAGTATTGCAATAATAAGAAACAAAAATACGAGACGCTCTTCGAGGCAGCTTTTAATAATAGCCGCCT